CAGCCGTGGCGGGTGTGCTGCCTCTGGGGGGCCCTGTATTCCTGGTCCCCTGGGCGGGGCCGAGAGCACGGAGCTGAGTGCTGGGCAGATGTGGGGAGACGCGCAGGCTCCCCGGAGCGCGCAGGGCCCACTCACAAAGGGACTTTCTCGGCAGTGCCATCCTTTCCACGGGCGGGGCTGGGGGAAAGCTGCCGAGCCCTGCGAGTAACTGAGTCACTGACCCGCCGAGGGGAGCCGAGCCCAGGGAGGGAGCGGCTCCCACGGGCTGACGGCTGGCGTTTGGCCTCACAGAGGGGGCGTCCTAGTCATGGCCACACCCGGGAGCGTTGGCACGGCCTTGGTGTCGTCCCACAGCGCTGGGCTTCCCGCCCGGCCTTGCGTCCACTTTGTTAGGAATCGTATGTTGGACTTTTTAAAAAAACAATGTTTTTTCCGGCACTACCTGTTTCCAGCCTCGTATTCTGGTCGGTGGAAACGCCGGTGATAGCGCTTGCTCTGTGCGTATCCCAGAAACCTATTCTGAGCTCATGGGTTCTGTCTCTTGGTGGAGATGTTCCCAGGGACACGTGGGCCCCTTTGCACGCTGGCGCCAAGCGCCGTGACCGGACGCCCGTGGACGCCTCGGCGTCTCCAAGGGCCTCGCGGCGATCATTCCAGGCAGCGGCTACTTTGTTCCGAAGTCCCGGCCGATAACCGCCGGCCTCGCACCTCGTGTCTCAGAGATCGAATTGGGAGCGTTTAAGGCAATCCCCGCTCCAAGCGGATCCGCCAAGCGAGCGTGTGCCCTTTTCAACGCTGTCATTCATTTCTCCCCTGCCAGCCTGTGCTCTTTCCTAAATATCTCGTTGGAATAATAGACTCGACATTGCCTTTTTTATTTTCGCGTATTAAGTGCAAGTCTCCGCTAGGTCACCCACGGCATGTGCCTTCTGGGGGCAGCTGGGGCTCACGCGTTCGGATGGAAAGGACGCCTCTATTCTCAGGGTTGCAATTAGTGTTGGGGGAGCTGGAAAAAAAACGAGGGACCCTATTTGCATGAAAGCAGCCCCGACATTTGGCTTTTACGGGTTTTCACATTAGAGAAGATGGACAGCAGTTTTTGACGGAAAACTGTAGGACACGTTCAGGTGATGTATGAACGAAAAGCCTTTGATATTGGAAAGTCGTGCTGAAGGTAGATTTGGGGTGAAGGCCGAGCAGAGGTAAACAGAACAAAGGACTCACTAATCCTTTGGGTGGGAGCATCACAGGGAGTTTATTTTTATGGAGCTGAAATTTCATCACCATTTGAATTAAAACTAAAGTCTATAACTGCATTGCTGGCTCTCAGCTTACCTTTAAATATATATATATTTATGTACATATGTGTATATATGTATATATATGTATGTGTGTGTGTATATATATATATATATAAATTCGTCTGGCCAGTGTTGCTCAATGGTTGAGTGTCGACCCATGATCCAGGAGGTCAAGGTCAAGGGTTCGATTCCCGGTCAGGGCACATGCCCGGGTTGTGGGCTCCATCCCCAGCAGGGGGCATGCAGGAAGCAGCTGATCAATAACTCTCTCATTATTGATGTTTCTCTCTCTCTGAAATCAATAAAAAATTAAAAATTTTTTTTTAAATAATTAAAAATTTTTTAAAAATATTTTTAAAATAAATAAATTCAACTGGACTCAATAAGCTTTACTGAGGCGAACAGAAATCTAGCAAATTGTTACGGCTCATAAGTCAGACAGGAGAGTGTAGGTGGGTGAAATTCAGAAACTGAATCGGGTGCTCTGAGTGTGTATAGAGTCAAAACAAAAAGAGATGGGTTTACGTGGGGAGGGGCGTGAGAAAAGCCACATTATAATCACATTTGAGAGAATCCCCTACTTAAGAATTGTTACAGCTACTTAAGATAGCCTGTTCTGTAATGACATTTTCGTGGCCTTTTAAAAATGGACTTTATTTTGGGAGCAATTTTAGGTTCACGGCAAAACTGAACGGAAGGCAGAGATTCCCATATAAACTCTGCCCCTAGACATGCACAGCCTCCCCGGTTAGCAACGCCCCTCGCCAGCGGGGGGCCTTGGTTACCACGGATGAACCTGCGTTGACATGTCATCATCACACGGAGCCCGCAGTGGACGGGGGGGTTTCTGCTGGCGCTGGGCATCCTGTGCCTGGGCAGATGTGTAACGTCACTGCCCTGAAACGTCTCAGTCCTGTGTTGGTTCAGTCCTTCCCCACAGCCCCTGGCACCCACTGGGCTTTCTATGGTCTCCATAGTCCTGCCTTTTCTAGAATGGTACGTAATAGTTGGCATCATACGATATGTACCCTTTTCAGATGGGCTTCCTTTATCAGTTGTGTGCATTTAAGGTCCTTCCATGTGTTTTTAAGGTCCCATCGCTTATATCGTTCTAGCTGAATAGTATTTCATTGTCTGGATGGACCAGTTTATCCACCTACTGGAGGACACCTTGGCTACTTCCAGGTTCTGGCGGCTTTGAATTAAAGCTGCTGTAAACATCTGTGTGCACGTTTTGTGTGGACATAAGTTGTCAACTCCTTTGGGTCAATGCCAAGGAGTGCCATTGCTGGATCATAAGGTGAAAGTATGTTTAATTTTGTAAGAAACCACCAACCTGCCTCCAAAGTTTACAGTTTCGCATCCCCACCAGCAGTGAGCGAGAGCTCCTGTGGCTCCACATCTTTGTCAGCACTTGGTGTCGTCCGTGTTCTGGATTTAGGCCATTTGCATAGGTGTGTGGTGGCATCTCACTGTTTTAAGCTTATCTTTATTACACTCCGGAACAAGTGATTTTCTAAAGCACTTATGAGTATATAATATGTGTAATACAGAAGTTTATATAATAAATACATCTACAGATTATTATATTGTTTAATGAATTTCCAGACTGAACAGGCTCTTATAGCCATCACTCCTGTCAGAAAACGGAAGCTAGTCAAGGGTAACCTAAGTTCTAGCATAGGAGGATAGTTTTGCCTGCTTTTATGCTTTTTACATTAACAGTAAAAATGTAATCATATAGTATGCATATTTTTCCACCTTTTTTTAAAAAAAAAATACTTTTTATTGATTTTTTTTTTTAGAGAGAGAGAGGAAAGGAGAGGGGGAGAGAGAAAGAGAAGTGTCCGTGTGAGAGAGAAACATCGATGGGTTGCCTCCCCCATGCACAGGGATCAAACCCACAACCTGGACACGTGCCCTGAATGGCAACCAAACTGGCAACCTTTCCGTTCATAGGACGACTTTCAATCAACTGAGCTACGCCGGCTGGGCCACCTGATTCTTTTGATCATAGAATGTTGGTCCATTTGTTGCTGTGTTGTACTGGTGCCCAATTATTGATCTGTGATGGGTTGTGTCGTCACGAGGGCTCAAAGAATCCCTACGACAATTGCCAAGCAGTTTAACAATCATCTGATAACATTATATCATAACAAGTGCTGCGTACCCCGTGGTTTCTTAGTCTTGCAGAAGTAGATTTCTTCTAGGTGTTTTCTCTCTGTTCTCCTTCCTACATCAAACTCGGCCCAGTCTTGTCATAGTCCATCTCTTACCGATGACTGTGACCGAGAGTCCTGCTGTAGGATGCACAGCTGACTCGCCGGGCGTCTGCCGTCGTTCCTTTGCCCCTCGGCATCTGTAGATCTGCTTCTAGACTCCTTTGTGTCTCTTCCCACTCACCTTCCAGCTAACTTTTGGGGTGAGTGGCATCTCCTCTGGTTATGACATTTGTTGTGGTGGCTGCTGGTCTTATTATAGTCGTTTCTAACTGATGCTAATTGGTTGGTGCTAGTTGAGACGGAGCATGGATAGTGTACGCAAGGTTTACTCTGACAGTCCAGGACATGGGAGAGATGGTGAGGTCAGGATGCAATGGGGAAGCTTCATGGAGGAGGAGGAATTAGAGGCTTTGAAAGACACATCCAGTAGAGATGGAAAGATATCCACGGGGGAAGGTCACCGTGAGCCATAAAAGCCTAGAGCATTCGCTGGACACAGGGTGCCTGGCCTGGAAGCCGTGGAGGGAGCCCTGGGTGCCAGGAGTAGTAGCAGACCGGGCGAGTCGAGAATGAAGTGATCAAGGGGGCGCAGGGCAGTGCCCGGCAGTTTGAGCGTGGACCTTTGGGGTGTGAATTTATCTGAGCCAGAACTCATCCTCAAGCCATAGACACCGGAGGCCAGTGAGGCGCATGAAAAAGAAATACCCAAGCATTACGTCTTTGAATTCCCGGCACCCACCATGCTGCCAATAGATGGCGTCTAATAAATGCCTAATGAACAGTTGAGTACATAATGCAGTGGAGGGCCTTTTTTTTTTTTCTTTTTTAAATATATCTTTATTGATTTTAGAGACAAGAAGGGAGAGGGAGAGAGAGAGAGAAACATCAATGATGAAAGCGTCATTGACCGGCTGCCTCCTGCACGCCCCCAACCGGGGATCGAGCCCGCAAACCGGGCCTGTGCCCTGACCGGGAATCAAACCGTGATCTCCTGAATCTTAGATCGATGCTCAGCTGCTGAGCCATTCCTCTTTGGTCGATTCCCACCATATTGTGTGTAAATCAGTCTTTTATTTTCATTTATTGTTTTAATTGAGAGAGAGAGAGAAACATTGCTTGGCCCCCATACACACCCTGACCAGGAATCGAACCCACGACCTTCAGGTGCGAGGAGTGATGCTCCAACCGGCTCCACCACGTGGCCAGGGCACTCGGCCTTGAAACAAGTATCTGCATCCAGACCTAAGAGATACGGTCATGTATGGATTGGAAGTCGAGGGCGTGAAATGATCGGTTTTACTGACTCACGAACCCCTTACCGTCATTTCTGATGGTTTAATTATAAAGAAAAAGCACAACTGGCTTTTGTCCAGCTCGAGTTGGTGGAAATGACGTCTTTTACCATCTAGACTGTTCCCAAATGGCAACCAGCATGTCTTGTGGGCCCTCTTTTACCAAAAAAAAACCCCAGAAAGCGTAACGATTCCCCTCCTTTGTTTCCTAGTGGAAGACAACAGCCTGTCCCAGAAGAAGAGGGTCACGGTGGAAGACCTCTTCAGTGACGAGTTCAAAGTTCACGACCCCGAGGCTAAGTGGATAAGCGGTGAGTCCCGAGCGCCGCGAGGACCTGAGGGTCCCCTTCCCCACCCGACCACCTCACAGCTCCGCTCTCCTGGTGGCCTCTCTGGCCCCCCTTTGGCCGTAGAAGCGGATCTACAGGGCTCCCGCTGTGATCACTTCATCATCATTCTAAGAAAATGTGTGTCTGGTCAAACGGGGCTGCTCTGGCAGGAGAAACGGGTCCCCTGGGTCACCTCCCAGCATCATCATTTCTCCCACGGAGATGTGAGGTGTTGCTAGGCAACCAGTGCTGGGAGACACAGAGCCGAGCTTCCTTCCTGAGGCTGATTCTCCGCTGTAACCCCCGCTGGATACAGGGGCCGAGGAGCTGAGAGCTTCTTCCAGAATGTCACAAATAAGCCAGACAGCGCAGCCCCGTGCGCAGCTGCGACCAGCATTTCCCTCGATCTGCACAAAGTCTGTTTTTCTCATTTGCAGGGTATTTCTGAACAGCAAAACAAAGAATCGGGAGGCAAAAGGGAGCACGTTGCGGTGCAGGACGTGGTCCGCTTCCTCCCGTCGGGTCTGGGATGGTTGTGGGGTGCAGTCCCGGGGAGAGGTGCCAGGGTCTCCGCCGGCCCCTGTGTGACGTCCCTCCTCCGAGTTTTGCTTTCTCCACGAATGCTGTTTGCATCTGGCCTTAGCCTGGGCGGGATGCACTTGAAAAGTAATTCTCGGGTCAGGGAACCTTTGTCTTGAAACGCTAGAGATCTGGTTCACATCCTGGTTTTTGCAGTAAATGAAGCCCAGAGAGGTTCGGCAATTTGTGTGAGGTCACAGGGCGAGTAAGAAGCGCAGCCGTGGCTGCAAGCCTGTGTGCCGACTTCCTATTTAGTGTCCTTGTGTCAAGGGACACAGTGTCCTTGTGTCTTCTTGCTCTCACACTGCTCCAGATGCTTCCCAAACCCTCAAAACCCAACCAGCAGCGACTCTCTGCCTCTCACCCCCTGCCAGTGGGAGCTGCTCTGTCCACCACTGGCCCTGGTACTAATTCCTGATCCCGAGATGAGCTTGTTGAAAAATGAAACAAGTAGATGGATCCTGGAGGGAATGGATTTCATCAAGGGAATTGGGGACAAGTGAGAGCAGTGAGCTGTGACTCCCAGCGGGGGGAACGTACAGAAATCCAAGCTACGGAGAGGGTCCAGGTCTCTTGTGTGGCCAAAGACGTGGTTTTACCATTGATTCTGGGGGAGGCTGAGCACCTGCTCTGTGTTTTCCCACCGCACTGGCTCGAGGCGGCACATAGCGAGCTCTGGGCCCCGGCTCGGCGATGAGAGATGATTCTTGTCTTCGGAAGGACTGCGTAGTCCGTCCTGGAGACAGAACAGCAAGCCGCCAATGGCAGCCCCGACTCAGATCGNAACAGCAAGCCGCCAATGGCAGCCCCGACTCAACACATGCAGGAGGGGGAGGGTGATCTCATTTTCCCGAGGAGGCATTTCAAAGACGGGGCACGAACTCAGACTTAAGGGAGGGCCAGGAATTTACTAATTAGAAGGCAGAGAACAGATCCCTGGAAACATGTAAGATGGAAATGTTAGTCTGTGCCGGGCCCCGTGGGGAGAGCCAAGGGCTAGTTGAGAGATGATAGGGATAGAAAATTGAAGAAAAGAGAGAGTGGGGAAGAGAAAGATGGAGGAAGGGAGGGAATTAGTAAAGAGGCAGAATCTAGGAATAAAATAAGGGGCAGAGACAAGGAACCCCGAACCAGAGCTGTGGGGTTCAGAGCAGGTCAAAGACACCGTGAGGTGCTAAAATAATAGAGCCATATATCTTCATCAGGGAGCCGTAGTTGCAGACTTGGCCTGCATCAGCCTTCCATATGGGGAAAAAAGGTCACAGGCAGAGACTCGGGCTCGAGAGCAGGTGCGGGCCTGCAGGGGCCTCACTGACGCAGGACCGTGCATCTCACGAGCTCCTCCTTGCTGCAGGTGAGGGGAGCTGTCCAGAGATGCGCTGGCTCCCGGCCAGGGGAAACAGGGCAGAATTCCTTCATACTCACAGTGTCGGGAATTAACGCGAGCCATTGAGAAGGGGCCCTGTGCCCAGCAGAAAAGCCCAGCTGCTTGTTTTGGCAGGATAGATATATTCATAAAGGCCACCTGCAGTTCTAAATAAACCTGCCCCTGGTGTTCAGGAACTTTCTCAGGAGGGTTCTTCCTGTGTGAAGGTGAACACTGAGCAGGAAGTTTTGCTGCAAAGTAACCAGGTGGTTGGGTCTCCCCCAAGAGGAGGCGCCATCTGGGGAGTAAGGGAGCAGAACTGTCCCACACGATGCTCCCAGCTGCCCTCCTCTCTCTCTTATTTCTCTTCCTGATCATTCCCTTTCTTCCTGCTCCCGAAAGATGTAATAGCTTAAGGTGAATGCAGTAACTTTGCAATGAGTAACTGAGCCCTTATAATTGATTTTTTTTTACAAATACCGTAAAGAATTCATTCATTTTTCATGCCATAAGTGTAAATGTTAAGATCGGGGGAAAGATTACATTCATAGGATTACTGAGTGATGTGGAGCTGGGATGAGCTGTAGAATTTATCGGAACATTCATTCGTTCAACTACTGTTTGTTGGGTACGTACAATGCAGCAGGCAAACTGCTGGGCCCAGAGAAGGTGAGCAATGGAACTGTTTCTTGGTGGTAGGCTTGGGGTCACCACCTATCACAACCACCACCTACCACCCCCTTTCTCCTCCTCTTCTTCCTCCTTTCTCCTCTGCCTGCTGCTCCTCCTCTTCTTTATCATCACCGTCATCATCACTTCATATTGTATCATCATCACCATCATCTTCATCATCTTCACCATCACCATCACCTCCATCATCATCACATCACCATCACATCACCATCATCACCACCATCATCATCACCATCATCTTCATCATCTTCACCATCACCATCACCTCCATCATCACATCAACATCACCATCATCACCATCACCATCATCACCATCACCACCATCACCATCACCACCATCACCATCATCTTCATCTTCACCATCACCATCATCACCACCATCACCACCACCATCACCACCATCACCATCACCACCATCACCATCATCATTACACAATCACCTACTGGGGGTGGTTCCAATGTCTTAACCTATAGACTAAGTGCTTTACACACATGAAATCATTCAATGCTCACAATCACTACTATTCCCATTTTAAAGATGAGGAAACTGAGGCTTAAGGTGTTTAAATCACTTGATCATTGTCACAAAGTTAGCAAGTAGCAAAGTTTGGACTTGAACCTGAGTCTCACTGGTTTTTATAAACTGTGCTACATTGTATAGAACTCAGGTCTCCTGTCTCCAGGCAGTTTCTTTCACACCCTCACCAGCTACATTGTGAATATTTCAGAATTATTTCCGTCCCTTAAATTCCTTATTCTAGCATCCCCTATTTCCATGGCACCTGTGTCAAACTAACAAAATCTGTGATAAAGAAAGATGGTGAAATTCCCCACGGAGGAGACTTCCTTCCTTCCTTCCTTCCTTCCTTCCTTCCTTCCTTCCTTCCTTCCTTCTTTCCTTCCTTCCTTCCTTCCTTCCTTCTTTTCTCATGAGGCACATTAACCACAGAAGTTAATAAATGCATCTTGGATTTAACATTGGCGTTAACAGTCTAGAACTAACACACTTTGTTTATCAGGAGGAAATGCGTTGGGTTGGAGGTAAATTCCTCATCACCCATTTTTATGCTAGAGACGTAATTTTTTAAACCTACCTTTTCTGAAAGCGGTTGATGCCACAGCCTTCAAATCCTCTGATATCCTAACGCCCTGTAGATGTTCCTCAAACACTTGCTGCCGCCACTGGGGCGAGCGGATGAGGTCTGAAGAGCAATAGAACCGAGGACCTCGAGGGTTCACCGTGGACTCTCTCTTACGAAGGTAGAGACGTTCGCTTCGAACGAGTTCGAACGTTATCCCTGCTCCTCGCCTCCAAGCCCCCTTCCCATCCAACTTCTTCTCGGCTGACTCCACCAGAAGAAAGCTCCCGAACANGGTAGAGACGTTCGCTTCGAACGAGTTCGAACGTTATCCCTGCTCCTCGCCTCCAAGCCCCCTTCCCATCCTCCTTCTTCTCGGCTGACTCCACCAGAAGAAAGCTCCCGAACATTCCCACTGCCCCATCTGCCTACCTGCCAGTGTCTGTACCTGCCAAGGGCCCTGCCGCTCCCCCTCCATGACCACAGGTGACCTGCCTGTGCTCAGTCGAAGGGAATCACAGCTGAATTTGCTTCTCCAGGGGCAAGAGAGAGGGAGGGTCCTGGAGGGTCCAGGGGGAGGCAGGGAAAGGACCCCAATGGTGCGTCGTCAAAGAAGGCACTAGAGGAAAGGACTTGGGCTGCTGTGATGGCCGATGAAGAATTTACCAAAGAGAAACTGTCCCTTGGCGGCCACACATCCCACACAGCCCACAGCCCAGGCCCATGTTCTCTGCCAGTCACGGGGACACNGGGCTGCTGTGATGGCCGATGAAGAATTTACCAAAGAGAAACTGTCCCTTGGCGGCCACACGTCCCACACAGCCCACAGCCCAGGCCCATGTTCTCTGCCAGTCACTGGGACATGCGGGCTCATGGTTGGGGTTTGGAATTTTCCTCTAACTCACCCTGTTTCAGATGATAAGGGGGTGAAGGTTCATTCTGGGAGGTGGTGCCTTATTTGTATACCGACAGCTCTCTGCATTCCCCTCGTTGCCCTTACAAACAGGAGCACAGTCCACTCTGTATCCATGGACTCGGCTACTCTGCGCAGAGGGGCTGAAGCCCCAGCTCCTGGTGGCACCCCTGGGAGACACGCCACACACACGCATACCACACACACCACCACGGACACGACACACACACCACTCTACAAGTCCACAGCTCAGAAAAGCGTTTGAGCTGGAGATACAGAATTGAAACTACATGCAAGGGAGTATGTCTTGGCTACAAGGCAGCCTGGAAATAGCCTGATGAACCCCGTGCGC